CTACTCACATAACACCACTAACAACATTAAGCACAACAGAGAAATAGGGTATATCGATAAATAGGAATTAATAAAAGAACTTAAGCTATTAGGGAGGAGTAAAAAAATACAAACATACATACTGGAACATTGTATAATAATTGAACGACAAACAAATCATAAGCAATAAAACCAAATTACATACACACACACGGCGTCACCAATGAGATAGGCCCAAAACACAACAGGAATAAAAAGAGACTACAACAGAAACCCAGCATGAAACAAACAGACAAAACGGCGCTCAACAAACCAAGGATTATGCATTCAGCTGCCTTGAACTAAACTCAGAATCCGGTGTGCCTCTTGACCGACCAATCACAACCCATCACAACCACCACGTCTCCTCCCCTGGATCGACAAGTGTTGAAATCCAGGAGGGCCGTTCCACACGGTACAGCCACCCAAGCACTCCCCAAAATAGAAGCACGTAAACAAGATAACTGCTCATCATTCAATCGAGACTATTTTAGGATACTACAAAAACACACAACCCCTCACTCACAGGATCTATTTTCAAGAAGTACAATGCAGTCGCGGAAACCGTTGTATGACCAACAGGTCGCCTCACTTACATCTTCAAGTCTCCCTAGAAATGTTGCTTTTGATGCCATGTATATTCCCGATATGATTGTCAAATGTTCTAGAAGAACGCATACATCGGTATAATCTAACAGCCGTTCATTTATATACAGCACAATCGCCTATAATCTCACAGATACCGCAGCTTGTTTTCAATAAATGCCTTCTTGCGTTCCTGTGAGATCCAGTGACAAAATCAGTTGCTGATCAATTGATAGCAACAATACTTCACCAGACAACGATTCGAACATACAGTTGCAACACATTTAACACTCTATGTAAAATCTCTCGTCCAGTTCTATGCAGAACAACTTCTAAACCCATAACACACACGGACTCAGTTATCTTTAAAGTCCTTTTATGTGTTGATCACAAAATGACTCATTATCAGTAATTCTTTCACCGCTACATGATTTTCCCGCTACTGGCAGCAGAGGTTTATTGCAGTACCAAAGATTTCTGCGCAGATTGTTTACTCTTTAATGATATGGAATGTACGGACATTATCTCCTGCATTAATAACTAATCATACCTCACGAGGATAGGTTAAGCGTCTCGAACACGACATCCAATACTGTTCATCCCCACCCACTTGAAGCCGCCTTGGGTTGAGCTTATCTTTTAGACTACAAACCATTGTGTGTAAATCGTCGAACACCTCTACTGAAGTGTCAAACTACGTGTTAAAGACAAGCATTAAATCTCTACTTACAATTGGCCAAAAAGTACAGCTATGGCCTCATGCCTGACAAGCAGGTTATGGCGCTCTGACAACATCTTACAAGATTTAAGTTTATCGCCCGAATCAGTCTAAAGCGGAGACACTACTAGTGTTTTCTGTTTGCACTCGAAACTTCTTCTCGAGCGTCATCCAACCATGGTTTATCTTTCTTTTTTTTTTCGCAATTTTTGAAAGCTAGCATATTCATTCTATTTCAATATTGAATTGCCTTTTGAAATAAATGATTTGAATCCTCCTCTATGTATTTCCTAAATTGCTTATTTTGCAACCAATATTCCAAACATGCTTAAGCAATTGTCTATAACCCTGAGAATATGAAGTTCTAAATAATTCGATTGCATTTAAGACAGATATTCTTACGGAAACTGCTAAAAGAAGGTTATGTGTAATTTACCTCTCCGCACCTGTCTCTGTCTTAGACACGTACAACTAACCGGTTCCAGTCCCCAACGATAACACCGACAGCTATACTACGTTTCGCACTCAACCTTACACGCACCCACCTCTCACCGCGAACCTCACCGCAGCCACATCCATTCTGTCCAGCACCTCACCGCACGGCCTCGAGATCCACTTTACCACCTCCCATTTCGTAGAACGATATAAGAAAGGTAAACTTGTATTTCCTGGTTTACAGACTTACACTATACTGCTACAAATTGCTAACAGGATACATACATGTATTCGCAAATCTAGCGACACGCCCAAGACGCCCATGTACGCGAAATTTACAGGAGAGCGAAAACAACACATCAACGGCTGCTGGCGATCACCTAGGCGCATGCCAAGCCCAATTACCATAACACCAGCAATGCTGCAATTTTCTAGTACGAGCAATAAAACAACTACATCCGGAATAGCACTCCACCCCAGCACGAGCCATCACCCACCCAAGAACGCAACCCTCCTCACAGACACAAATTTCCTTATTTACCAGTCCGCCACATTCTACTGTAAACAATCATACCCGTTCACCCTTCCTTCACGCCGACGATTAAGCCAGTTCACCTGACACAGACCCCATTCATCCGACTCCTATCGAACGAAACACGCTGATACGCTACCCGGCATCCGCGCACCCCTGACGATGCTGCGCGCTGAGGCCGGTCCCTCGCGCGCCCGGGAGACGTGCTAGGCGTCTCTCCGGCGTGCCAGCTCCTTAGCTGTTTTGCGCCCTCCTTACACGCCACCCACGTTAATTACAGTTCGTCACCCACCCTGCCGAGCACCATTGTTTGTGGTACTTTCCCTTCTCCGTTCTCGGCCGCGGCCCTCCCCTGCCGGCCTCCTTCGTTCCCCTCGGCTCTTTTTCTCATTTGTTTTTTCTCTCGCCTTCTGTGTTCTGTTTTAGACAGGGTGCTCTGCTTCACCCTTCGTCTTCTTGCCGCGGC